AATTAACAGCTTGAATGTACATGTGTTTTGATGGCTGAACTCTGAAGATTAAAAATAATTTGGATAAAATGTCCTCTATGCTATTTAGAATCTGCTTGTACAGAGTAAAGACTATCAGTGATCATATGCAAAAGTGAATAATCACTCACAATCTGCATTTATTTGTAGTCTTGTTTTTACACAAATTCTTTAATTTAAAAAACTGTAAGGAGAGTTTGATTCAATTTTTTCTGCATCAAGTATGATTTGGGACCTGTGTCCACAGTCTGAGGACTTTCATTGATGAAACATTGTATTTGTTTTTACACAGGAAATCTAGCCTATAATCGGATAAATAAGGATACATTCCAGTAATTAAAAGTGACTTTGCTCAAAGTACTATTATCTTTTGCAACAGATCATCTTTAACGTATCAATATGATCCAACCTTGCGACACTATAGGTAAAAATCTAGATAAAACGTGTTAGAATGTAGGATATTGAGGAAAAGAAACAATATATATATATATATATAGTATGTTATAATGGCGAGCAGTCTTCAATCTTACTGAAAATGCAACATGTTGCAAACCCTGGTGCCAGTGCGGGTGGGGGGGGTATCCAAATCTCCATCGCAAAGAATAGACTGAGAAAATACAGCCAGCGTATGGCGGTTTATTCACTAAACAGCAAATTATAGTAAATGGAAAACAAATTCGCAAATTAAATGCAAAAAAATTATGATGTAAAACAATTCTCCAGCTCGTCTGTAGTCACGGCTTGACAATTTTAATCTGAAATGTAGCTCAGTTTTCCAGTAACTGCAATTGGATGCTTAGTAAATAAGTCCGGTAATGCCTGCACTGTCCTCGTTTAGAACATTGTGAGCTGGACGCAACGCTGTATACAGAGATTGAATAGCATGACTGATGGCTGCTCTGCGCCATCACTCACAGCTCCGCCAGACGGCTGTGTGAAGGTGTCCTGGCCAGCGAGGTGCATAGAGCCGCTCGGTGATCAATAACCTGATTAAAGAGAAGCCGAGGATGAAGGATGAGCTCTCGTTCTCAAGCACCCAGAGGGTACAATTTTAAGGATGTTTAGAACCGATTTATCACTATAAGGATCAGGTCAGATTTGCTGGTCTGTCTGGTGGCTGCAAGCCCTCCGGTAATATAAATATCAGTAGGTCCAGCAGGCTCGCTATTTTTAACCCTTTCACAATCAGTGCTCCGGGCACCCCTCTTTCGCTCCGCGGGCATAATCTGATCGGAAAAGGGCCTAGTCTGATAACTGCATCTCTCTATGTATTACAGGTCACGAATGGGTAACCCTAGCACTGCGTATGGTCAGGTGGATATTAACCCCTAACAGACCAATGACCTAGAAATCTGTTTTTTTAACAATCACATTCCACAGTGGCATGGCCCAAACAGCAATCAATGCAAAGCTTCCCAAGCTAAAAAAGTTGGAACATCCCATGCCAGATTACGGTATTTAAGGACTGGAGTGGGAGACAACAATTATTATTCTTTATATAGCACCAACATAGTCAGTGGCGCTGTACAATCATAGAATGCGGATAGCACAATCTACACCGCACTGTAGTGGTTATATTGCCTGGAGTCCTAGGTTATGTGTGTAATGGTTTGACAGTAATCATTGATCCCCCTTGTGCCCCTTAGAGGGGACGTGTCGCTATCCTGGAATTCCCTTTTAGTAGAAATCTGTACTGTTTATAGTGCAGCGTGTGCCTGGATTCAACCTTAACCATTTAACTGCCGCCGTACCCCAGCCCTCCAGCCATGGAAGGGTTAATTAGTGTTAGTGTAATTGAAGCTCTCTCACTAATGAATGCTCCATGTAAATGCTGTGACCGGGGAGATAGAGAATAATTGTAATTGAGGCATACGAGCGGGGGATTACATACAGCAACATACAGAAGGAAATACAGATTACAGCCAAATGAGATGAAGGCTTTCCTCGGAATTAATTGTTTTTTTGCTCATTTCCCCTCTCACATATTGCAGGCTGGTATAATGAACCCGTGGCACTAAGAAGACATGTGGGATGGGAGAGGGGTACATTAAGGTTATGGCATTGCATGATCCATGTTCTCTAATATAATGAAAATACAAGATCCATATATACTGCCAGGTCACACCTTATTACATATGCTGAGAGCCGGCTCTCCTACCCTTTGCTGCCCTCTGCTGAGAGAAACACACAGGTCTGAATAATGTCAGTCTATATATCTTCCTGCAAGGCACACACAACAAGACCTGAAAATGAGTTATACATGGTTTGTAATGTGATGGTTCGGGCATTGTTCTGGAGCCAGTGGTTAGATGAAGCATAAGTGCCAGGTGTTGTGTTTCTGAGAGCTGTATTGCTCCTAAATCTCTGCCTGGAACATTTTATTATAAAAGAGCCCCTTTTAGTTCTATATAAAAGCATAGAATTATCTGCTTGGAGGTGTCACTATACGACTATCGTCTACTGTTTGTTACCAGCGTGGGTAACGTTTGTATTAATCCAACTCCCAGTGCCTGAACATCAATTTAAGAAACCGAATGTCTCCAGTGTGACACGTCGGGGTGGGTCCCTCCACCCTGCACTTCTATGGACACCCAAACAAAGTCACTGAAACCAATAAATGGTCCTGATATAATGACGTTTCTGCTCTCTGGGCATGTGATCATCAGACAGGTTTATGGTAGTGTTCCCCTAATTCCCACCCTCAGATTTATATTCCAGACCGCGGGGCACAAAGTCACAAAGCTGCCAACAGGTTTAAAAAAGTAAAATGTTAGTGCTGGAAACTCGCTTTAGTGTGACAATATAATACCCTACCTGGGTTACAATGTACTCTTAACTTTGTAATTCACTTGTAATTTAGTAATTAGCGCTGTGTATGTCTTCTAATTACATGGTCACTAAGTTGGATAAATTCAAAAAGTCTACTGAGATTTTCTTTACCTAGTAATTGTATCGTTCCAAGGAGCCAAAAACGACTAATGGCCTCTTTCTTTGGTGATATGGTAAAAGATGGCTCATTGAAATAGGTAATATGGTGATATCGTGACAATGGCTCATTGATATACGGTAATATGGTGATATCGTGACAATGGCTCATTGATATATGGTAATATGGTGATATCGTGACAATG